GGGAGATCGTTTGGTGTTACCGTGAATCGCACGTGACATTGAGCACTCGCGCACGCAAATGAGTGACTAAGTGGTCACTCTTGGGGGACGAGCGCGCAGTGGTTTTGTAAGTGGAGCCATGTACTTTCACGTTGTAAGCGACTGTAAACGCACAGGGTGTTTTTCGCATTCGGTTTCCGACGAAGTGCTGCGGCAGTGGTCGGGATTCGAACCCGCGGCCTCGCGCTTGACAGCTAGTCACATTAGTCGCTAAGCCGCCATTGTAGAACGTTGCGTAAACTCACTGGTTTATACAGTCGCGGAAATCGCTACCGCCGCTCAGTTCGCAGAAAAGTAGTCCACACGGATGTCATAGTCGTACAAGATTGTTGTCCCAATTGTATAAAAAAAGTACTTATTGTCCCGGCCTTCGCAGGAAGCACCGCTTAGTCATCACACTCTACTTCGACAACAGCCGCTGTTTTCGCGCATCCTGCGACGGAAGTATACGAGGTTCGCCTCCGCACGGCTTCAACAAGGCTCATAACAATAGCGATTGTTGGAGCTCGACACCGTGAAACCACGACATAATTAAGAGGGACGTGGTTGTGGAAGGCTCAGGAAATTTCGACTATTCGAATTTTACGTTGGGAACTCTCGCATTTCGTCTTCATCGGAATGCGGCTGCCGTTCTTGGGATTCGATATCGCTGCGTTCTTGTTAGCAGTCGAGCACAATGGAGTCACTGCTCCATCGCGGCGGGTGGCTTCCACAAGGCTGTGTTTCTCCCCTACTGCCACGCTTTAACAATGTATTAAGTACAGTTGAATGATGAGACAGAATAACTTCCTCGTTCGTTTTGCCTTCGGGTGCATTGTCTATCGATAGCTTCGTGCGCTTCTGATTATACATTTACACGCAAACGTGCACGTGGCCACACGCGCCTGTCTATATGTTAAAAGTGCCTGCCTTGTCGCAAATCGCTGGCGCCAAGAGGCATTCCGTTGGAGTCGCTATCCACGCGTTCGTCGCCCGAGGTGTCAGCCGTCGGGGCGTCGCCTTCTTAGGTGACGCCGCCTCGTGCTTTGCGCGCAAGAAAAAGCAGCGCGACCGGAGAAATGGCACGCGTCTCGCCGTGAATTGTGTCGTCGTGAATACAGCCTGCCTTTTTAAAAATTTTTAGATGCGGAAGCATCTTATACTCGCGCCTTGTAGTGCGCCGTCCGCGCCGTCCGCACCGCTTCTCGAACATTCGACAGCTGACGCGCGCGCATGCGCCGTCGCGCCGTCGCCCACTCTTCCACCATCTGTGCATCCCTTCTTCCTCTACACACCGCGCGCGCTTCACTCCTCCACCATCTGTGCACCCTTCCTCCTCTACACACCGCGTTCGACATCTACAATTCTCCTGATTCTCCAGTGGACGCGCATGTGGCGTCGCGCTTCGAGAACATTCAACAGCTGACAGTGCATGCGCCGTCGAGCTGTATATATACTCAAGGTCGGCGCTCGCTCGCTCAGTTGCCGCTCGTCGGTTGGTTTGTACGGCGCGTCGACGTCCAAGGTCGCGGTGAAATGAATTCCAACGAATCCACAAACACAATGATCGACGTCCCTTCGACCAGCGCCGCCCTTTCGCATACGTGTGTACGTGTTCACTCATTTAACACCCCCTCCTACAACAACGTTAACCAATTTAGCCATCGACCCAAGTAAGTCGCAATTTAACACCCCATTTCACAACCACGTTAACCAATTTAGCCATCGACCCAAGTAAGTCGCACTTTAACACCCCGTTAACCAATTATATGCTCCGCATCCTCCTCAGTGTTCCCCCGAGGGAAGCTGCGGGCAATTTTTTTTGTAAGCTTGACCTGTCGCAATTTAATGACTCCTTGCGAATACAATCACTTCCATGGACTCTTCTATTTGAAGATGAAATCGATTATTATTACGCGTCCCAAATCCACCAGATGATTATGAGAGACGCCGTAGTGGAGGGTTCCGGAAATTTCGACCACCTAAGGTTCTTTAACCTGCACCCAAATCTGAGCACACGGGCCTACAGCATTTTCGCCTCTATCGAAAAAATGCAGCCGCCGCAGGCGCGATTTGATCCCCAACCTGCGGGTCTGCACTCGCAGCATTAGCCACTAGACCACAGCGGCGGGGCCGTGCACCTGAAGGTAGTCAGGATGATCAAGAACCTTGTCCTCAAATCATCCTGGTCATCTCAATTACTTGTATGATCTATTCTAAACGTTATTTCCGCATTTTCCCCAAGTTTCCCTATCAGGAGGTTTATCGGTTGCTTATTCAGTGCAAAATCAGAGACGCATGGACACGGTAACGCAGAAAATTGCTACATTCCCCACTAAAGAGAACCATGTGTGGATGCGAAGCAGCGCTGGTGTTCACTTGTGTTTCCATTTGCATTTGTGTGCTTCCAGTGTGTGTTTTAATTGTGTGTGGAGTTGTGTACAAGTTTTGTACCGCCTGTTTTGCCGCTCCTTCTCCCATCTGGGTGTATTAGCGTGCGTGTGCCGCTAAGTGAACACCCAGCGGTGCTAGGAGAGTGCTGCGGATAGAAACGGGGAGAGGAGGAACGCGGCGGAGTCAGTGCTCTGCCACCTCCCCCCATTCCACTTCCTCGCGATCGCGCGAGAACACGGGACCTCGTCGACTGTTCGGCGGCACCACTGCTCATGCGCCGACTCTCCTTCTCTCGCTCATCGCGTGAGCGCGAGAGAGAGGAAGGGAGAGGCGGCGCAATCACTCTTAGTGCTGCATGCTCTAGCTCTCTCCTCGCGTGAGTGTGGAGAGAGGGGGGAGAGCTCGCGCATGCGCAGTAAGGGTCGTCACGCCGCACACCGGATGGATTTCCGTCATAGGCTGATTTGCATATAAAACATGAACTTAAGCACTTGCAGGAAAGGCGGGGTTCCTCTTGTATGTCCTAGCTTTGTGCCACCACCTGGGTTTGGTTAGCATGATCCTTATCTTAGACTTATACTGGCCATCTCGATGGCGAGGATGATGCTCATCTAGAGCCTCACTTTCACCTCATCTTTGCCTTATTCTGATCATCTCCATGGTAAGGATGACCAACTGTAGTGAATTCGGTGGTCAATTGAGAGATGTAAGTACACAGGAACGTAAAGAGGGGGACACATTGCATACAAGGAATCTTTGCACGCTCCTGTGCGTGTTGGCGCCTTTCCTCCGTATTGGCGCCGTGTTTACGCGTACGAGGTATCCATGCGAACTAGACGAGCTTACCACACTTCCTTTGAGAATGATACATCTTGTCTTAGGCGCATTTCCTTCGCTAGCTGCCATGTTTGCTGGCGTACCACCAGTACTTGCTAATGTTCGCTGAAAGATGACTGTTACCTAATATTGGCGACTGCTGGCTAATATCTTGAGTATAAGTCTTTTCTAGCTAGCTATCGTATTTACTCGCATGCTACAGTGTTGGCTAATCGCCAAATCCTGTGTGGTCTCGTAGCAACCTGGGATAAGTTACGATAGACTAGTCGTCTGAAAACCATTGAATGACAAATACATCGAGAACACTTTCTTGGCTAAAATGAAAGATGGGCGAAAAGCCGCATTGTGGTATTTTCGTTTTCTTTAATAATTGAAGCGCTTGTCCTGCACTGCAGTGGGTCAATATTGATTCGAGATTTTAGGCGAACTTCTATGCACACTGTATTTATCGAAACTTCGGTCTCTGAATCATGATTCAGTCTCAATAACACTGTTATCACGTGCGCATGTTTTTTTTTCTTTTTGACGTCTTATAGCGTTCAGTACAATGACTTCTCGGAAAATCAAATGTACTAAGAAAATGGCGCGCTTTAGCTGTCTTGTTTTTATGGACCTTTTTTTTATGGAATGGACGTTCTCATCCTTTCTGGGCTGTTGCACAAAAGTACAAAAGCCGACGTCACAGCCTTGGCAGCACATTTTTTTTTCGGGGGGGGGGGGGGTGTCACGCACTAACAACAATCCCGAGAAGACTATGGCGGCGCCAAGGAAGCCTCGAGTGAAAAGGTCTATAAGCTCTCAGTGTTTCCTTATTACGAGGCATGTTCCAACTTCAACCTTGGTTTCTGAAGACGCCGAAACGGCGTCTTGAAGAGAAGCGTCGGTCGTAAATTATTTAGGTTTATTCGACGCTAACTGCCATTTTCTATTCCTTGTGGTCTAGAAGATGGCTTTGAGCTTCAAGTACATAATCATAGCATTCGCTTGAACAATAAATTATTCCTATCGTTAGTATGATGAATCTATGTATATGCTCCTATAGCTATTAGGCCTTTGGTGCCTCCTGACCCCGTTAGTGCTCCGTTGCATTCATTTTATTTGCACACACTGATCACTACGTAAACAAAACTTAGCCTCGTGAGCGCTTCGACTTTGAGAGTTCTACAGATAAGATATATATGAACTTATTTTTCACGTATAGATACGGTAATTGACGGAACGCATACTCAGCAACTCGCTAGATACTTAGCAACTCGTTCGAAACACCAGCTAACACATGTGCACAGCAGCAAAACCATGGTCTAAGTGGTTCTGAAAGAGAAATGAAGAGAAAAGTGAGCCCCGTAACTGTCTGCTTCAGGGAGCGACACCTCAACAGTAGCTCACAAGGGATGGGGGTGAGGAGGGATTAAAAGGATAGGAATAAAGGTGTAGAAAGAGGGAGAAACAGTATGCCAGAGAGTGAGAGCGATGACATATCGAGAGGATAGGTGAGATAGGAAAGATGGAAACACGGTCACAGGAGTCCGAGGACGGGGCACCACTTGCGACAGCTCCTGTCGGCGTCAGTAGATGGCGTAGAGCAAGTCCAGTCGGTCAGAGCTACACTGTCGTCGAAGGTCGTCGGCGTCAGGAGGTGACGTAGGGCAAGCCTAGTCAACCAGAGCTACGCTGACGTCGAGATCGCGAGGGCACAACCGGTCGGCACGGAATCCAGCAAACCATGGTCTATTTCCGTTGTGTGTGCGCAGGCCTGCGAGTTGCAAGTTCTCGAGCGTCTAAAGTGGGACGTGGTCTCGGTGGTGGCCAACGACTTCCTGGATCACCTGGTCACCATGTTGGGACTCGCCGACTGTGGCGACACTGTGCGGAGGCACGCGAGCACTTTCATCGCTCTTTGCGCCACCGGTGAGTGATTTACGCTTTAAGGCACGTTCGTACCGCGCGCTGTATTTGGTTTTATTAGTCTAAGCATCTGATGGAGGACGGGAAAGAAAAAAAAAGTCAAGTCAACACAGCCTCTTGTCTATGTAAATGAGACATCTTCGTTGAATTGCAATGATGACAGGGTTCCCTCTATTACCACGGTAGCCTTCAATAGCCAACAGGTACCACTGTTTAGCCAATGCGAGTCATTATTAAGCAAACGTATGGTTGCACTGGCCAACGTTTTATAATTTTAAACAACCATTACGATCGATTCAGGGTTGTTTACTTATCGATGTTCATCGTGAGCCATTGTGCGAACCTTTATGAGTACTATGCAATAATACGACGAGAGTTTCGTGCTGGTGAGTATGCTACGCGTGCACCATTCATAAAACGAAGGCGGTTTCCCTAAGTTATTCCCTCCGCGTAAAAGCTAGCGTGGAGCATGGCGTAACGCTGCTAGCGCTGGCCAGCCAGCCTCCTCTTAAACCGCCAGAGACCATTCCGCACGGTGGCTCTCGGCAATTATCTGTCCCACCGTTGGGACCAACTCATTGAGGAAATAGTTTGGTTCGTGGGACCCTTTCAATATCTCCGGTGGGATAAGGTACCAAGAATTTGCGAGCCGCGCTTCGGGCAGGGGCGGATCCTGCCACTGATTTTAGGGGGGGCGGGGGGCTGTCGCTTAAGGTAAAACCCGAGAGGGGGGTCCTGACTTTTTGGTTTTAGTAGCACAATAACCTCATTGCAAAAATGCAGTTAATTTATGCTCAGTGGTTCCTCCAGTTTGTCCTAATTGGTTTTAGGAGGTGGACAACAAGCGCTGAAAGGGGGAGGGGGGGTGCTTGCACAAGCTTTAGGAAGGTGACGGTAGCCCGTACCTGACCCCCTACCCTCTGGAATCGCCACTGGCTTCGAGTGCACACTGAAAAACATCGTCTGGTCGATGACGAAATTGCGTCTTCAAACTGTCAACTGTTGTGATGCACAATGGCATACAACTCAATTGGCGGACTAAGAGCGACTGATCCAATGTTGCCTGTAAAGAGTTGGTAGAGAATAGTTTGTTGAAAATTGGCCAGCACGAGATAAGAGTTAGCCAGTGCTGCGGACATCAGTGCTGTGATTATGTGAAATACGGTAGTTAAATTCCGTCAAATGCATCGTCGACATAATGGACATACGGCGTTACAAAAACGGGGTGAAAGAAGCCCAGGAAGAACATTGTCTTCCAAAGCTGCAAGCTGTAGCCTTTGACGTGACAAGTGGTGTGGACTGGGGGTCCCCAGATGCCACCAGGTGCTTCATGCTAATTTCCACGTCCTAGAAGTATAAGCTGCGCAAAACGGGATCCAGGCTTATGGAGAACGGAGTGGAGGAAGTCCTGCCTCTGTGGTCTGACGGTATATAGAATAAAACTAAAGCGCATGCGCAAGACAACGTGTCTGAACCGCTTCGATACGGAAGGATCTTAACAGACACCGACGTGTGCCACGCGCTTCGTCATTGTGTGCTTACGTAGGGAGCGAGCAGACGACATCAGACAATGACCGCACTTTCCTTTCTTGTAAGCTTCGCGCGGCCTTATCACCTGCCTCTCAAAACCAGTTTCTGCGCATGCGTTGTCGTATGCAGAAGTGCGGCCTCTTTAAAGGACCCCGAAGGAACGTCGGCATTATACCTTTAATAGGAAAAATCTGCACATCTGTAGCGGGCTATTCACCCCACCTTGGGTGCTTTAAGTTTTACGACGGTGAAAAAAGAAAGAAACGGGACCTTTCTCCCTCTTTCTTGTAAAAAAAAAAGGAAGAAAGAGGGGAGATTGTTTGAATAACCGTTCCATCTGGCGTCATCGAGTGTGGCGTCGTCTGCTACGCCAGCTCGCGCATGACGCCTGCGCAACCACTTGCCTTTTTGTGTCTATTTCTTATATCGTTTGCTCTAGTAGCTAGGCCTACGTCGGTGCTTGATCACACTCCGTAGATTCTACCCTTGATTGTTCGCGGTTTGACTTTTGGTGTCTTGCGGGCGGTGGCTCGGCTTGAGTCTTGTGTATAGCTACACGCTTGGGTAAACGTATCCACCACGTTCCCGTCTAAGCAGAGGAAGTAGCGCTAGTTGCTTGTGAGGCAGCGAGGGATACATGTAAGCTTTCACTGTGAAGGGATCGGAGGCCATCCCTCTTCCGTCGGTCTAGATGGTGCGCGCATGCGTCATTCGGTTGCCCCTAGACTGCGGGTGGCTGCGAGCTCTTTTGGCTCGTAAAAGAAAGACGACAGAAAAATCGACTCGTAGAACGGTGATCTCGCTCTTCCCCCCCAGCCTCCTTTAGTTCTGCGTTCGTCGATTCATCTCTCTAGCGCTTTTGCCACGCGTCTGCTTCAAGCGGCGTGTGCCGTCGTACCAGTCATAGCCTCGGTAGTCTAGCGCGTACGTGCACGCAAACGCTATATCCCCAAAAGCGGCGACCCCGCTTCTGTGCTGCTATGCGGGGGACAATAGCGTGACGTGCTGGACGGAACACCTGGATGCATCGGAGTTCTTGTGCCGGCTGTGGCCTCCCCTCCCTGTCCTCTTCCCCCCTCATCGCCGTAACCTTCGAGCCCTCCCAGACCACCCTCACTCCTGTTCCAACAATACGTGCACCGGGCACACGCCGTGCGCGTGCCCGTCTTTTGTGTCGCGAGCGGCGCTGCTTTCCTACCGAACGGAGTTCTTTTGGTCTTTATTTTTTGCGGCTGGGCTAGGCCTAGTTGACAGAATGTCTCAGCAGGCAGACAGGCCGTTCTCATCCGCTCCGCCTTTGCTTTAAGTTGTTGCGTCGACGTCTAGTCGAGGCTTCCCCCTTTCCCGACCCAGGTTTGACGCTCGAGGTCGACGCCTTCTGCTCGTATTGCTTACTTTTTTTTTTTCAAAGCCTTTGATGGCTGCCACGGCGAGGGTTGTGTCTTTCGCCATTGTCGTCTGCTACGTCCTTAGAACGTCTCACAAATCAGGATAGTTTCGAGATCTAACGCTATACTACTAGTCGAACATCCTTCTCCGCAAGGATACATCAGTGTCCCTGCAGTATTAATTGCCTTTCATGGCTCCCATGGCTAAGGCTAGGTCTTTGGCCATCGACGTCGACGTCTGCTATGTCTTAAGGACATCTCTGAAATTAGCTAACCGTCGACGTTTTACGGCACTAATAAGCAAGCATCAACCTCCGCCAGAATTGGTTGGTGTCTTCGCGGTCTCATGAACCGGTTAGATAGTTGCTGATTAAAGGATGAATAAAGGGTCTATCCGCACAAAAATTAAAAGGCTCCCGTTTCAGCAGGTCTCTGAAGTGCTCGAAGCAGGGTTAGAGCCCCCCCCCCCCCCACCGGTTCCAGCTGTTTCCGGTCTTTTTAGCTCTTTGTCCGCTTTCGCTGCTCCCGGTGGCACACGCACTTATTGATTTCCGCCGCCCTAGGTTGTCGGCGCGACCTGATGCTATTCTCCGCTCTAGGATACGCGAATATCGAAAAGTTAAGGGTGAGGGAGTGCTTTGCACGTGCCCGGACCTTTTGTGTTTGCTCGGCGATTATTTCAGCCGAGCAGAATATAGGCTTGCGCTTGCGGCTCAAAGCTGTCGAACTGAGCGTTGTGTGTGAGCTTGGGAGGGGGCTACGTACGGTGAACCGGTCCAAAAACGGGAAGCTCTGATTACGGAAGCCGCCCTAGCCGATCCCCTTAACGCCCTATACCGCTTTTTTTTTTTTCTTCTTTGAACTTGTTCCAAGTCATGGCGAGTGGTAGCTATACTGTACAGCGTGATTGCATTTGCGTCATGCGCAAGGCTTGATTGATTGATTGATTTGTGGGGTTTAACGTCCCAAACCACTATTTATTATGAGAGACGCCGTAGTGGAGGGCTCCGGAAATTTCGTCATGCGCAAGGCAGTTTCTTGTTAACTCCCTCTAATGAAGAAGTCTTTTTTTTTCTTTCTTTCTTCTTGTTGACATTTATTTACTCATTTGTCACGGCTCACTTGTCCGCACAATCTTTTCTTGCTGCTGCCTGGCTGTCGTCTGTACAGCTTCGCAAGCTTTATTCACTCGTCTACTTAAAACAAAAAATGTTTACCCTTTTTTGCGAAATGCTGAATTTCTCATGTTGCTCTATTATTGTTTCACTCGGGTTAATTCTATTTCATACGTTGCTCTGCGCATTGCTTCTTATGCGGTTTCCATTATTCTGACTGGCATTTGTCGCGTCTTCCATGTTTAACTTAAGTTTCTGTCAACTTTTTTTGTTCGCCTTCTTTCCGGCCGCTAGCTGCTTCACTTTCAGCTACCGATTTTGGGCTTGTCTCGAATCCGGGCGGCTTCCGTTCCTTCTCATTCCCCCCCCCCCTCCTCCTACCCCCCCTGCTCTAAGCGATGGCAACCAGGTGCGAAGCACGCTCCGTATAGTATAGCGGAGCGTGCCTGCCTCTAATCGATTCTTCCGACCCCGGTCCCACCGTTAGGCAGAGTGGCATATCTATACATACCCATCAATGCGGCAAGTATACAGTCCAAAAGAACGTTGGCTCCTGCCCACGTGAGTCCGTTCCCTCCGACAGGCTATTGACTTTACAGCTGCTCGTTTGCTTGCCTACCGGGTTTTCTTACGTTTTTTTTTTTTTGTTTTTAAGTATACATCATGGTGACTTGTAGATGTTAGGGATCGCTGATGCGTCGCGTTTACTACAAATGTCGGCTGACGATCGACTAAGGTGCATGACTGTTAACTGTGAGGCATTGGGTGATCAATTGGATTTGCTGCGGGGCGGTTATTTTATTTCTCTTTGTTTTTCTGCATTTTCCAGCTTAAGTTATGCAGCCACTATCGCTACTCATTAAGCCATAAGGCTTGTAATAGCGCTCTAGCTCTATTTGATGAAGCATGCTCAAAAATGCAAAGAACACTTATATTAAGGGCGAAGAGTGCTCATCCGACGTTGCTCTTA